TTAAATAGAACCATTATAAGTCAGGGACCATCTGTAAATCTAGTTATATTCCAACATGAGTAAACATGACTAATTATTTATTATAATAAAATAATAATGCTTAATTTGTGATTAATGACATCTTTGGGATCAGGTCAGATATGCGATATACGTGCTTAGGATGAAGGGAATCAGAGCGAAGAGGAAAAGCAGGACTTATGCTGTTCTCGAAGGACAGACACGGGCTGAAGAGGCGGAGGGGGTGAACCTGCACGGGTGAGGGTCCTGCGGGCTCTGCCCACAGACCGGCTATAACCGATATCGCTGTGTGTGGAACTGAAATTTGCTAAGTGAGTAGAATTGAAGTGTTTTCACCCCCAGCAGAAAAAAAAAATTTTAAGGTAAATATGTGAGGTAATAAATGTGTTCACTAACTTGATGGTGGGAATCCTTTCACAATTATTAGGTATGTCAAGTGATCACATTGTACACTTTACATGTATCACAATTTCATTTGTCAATTATACTTCAGTGGATCTTAAAAATATACACAAATAACAATACCCTGATTTTAGTATTTTATTTGAGACTAAGCTATATCCCAATAATACCACTTCCAACTGTGTGTTGGCTCATTACCTGCTTCATTATGCACCTACTCCCTAGAGATGCTGCTGGTCTTCTCTGGCAGGTCACCAGGGTCAGCCAGTGGCCTTCCATGGAGTTAGTATTTTCTCTTTTTCTCTGGAAAAGGACCTGAATGCTCTGAGGTAAGTTTAAAGTATCAACTTTTAGTTTCTATAAAGAGATGAGTTAGTTCTTTATAAGCCTTAGCTCCCATAAATTTAGACTTGATACTGTCATCCATTTGGAAAAAACTCCAAGATGTGGGCTTTACATACGCCACCATTACATAAGTGTTCTTGCGGCTCAAGACTTAGAATGACCAGAGAAAACCTTAGAAAAGCCATTTCCAAGCTTGCAAAATTGACAACTACCACTACCACCACCAATCCAAAAGAAAACAACATACCAGATAAACCCTCCATTCTTATCAGAACGAACAAAGATGAGGTCTGACTCAGTTTCCTGAGGCCGACCTGTGACCCTGCCTGGGCTCTCCGGGTGCCCTGGGCTGACGCCGCTCCACTTTGGGGCGGAAGTGAAGGGAGTTTTTGTTCTACTCTAGGTTCATGTAGGACAGGATTTTCACAAGACTCAAAAACCAGAAATGCAGGTAAAAGATAAATACTCACTTTTTTTTTGTAGGGCAGGGGGACAGGGGTCAGATCTGGCGTGAGAAAGAAATTATAATTTAAAACAAGAAAAAGAGACATTTAAAAAAGTTGCTCGGTCATATCACGAGAAATGCAAACTGGAAGGTTTAAGGCAGGAGCCCCACCAGCAGCTTGGGGTCTCCCATCCACTCCTGCAGCCTCACGCACTCAGTTCCGAGTCACCTGCTTCCCGCAGAGCCTCCTGCCCTTCATTTGCTCCTGTCTTGTCAGGAAAGGGGAACGTACCTTCCCCATAAATTAACCCTGCGCAGTTCTGGCCTGGTACGCCACAACACAGTCAAGTCTATTTTCAAATAGACACAGTCAAAGTGCCCGGGAGTATTAGATCCCACCCGACCACTTCAGTGTTCCAGCCGGTGGAACATGCTGGCTGAGGGCAGAGCTGGAGCCCAGTCTGCAGCCGTGCACACAGGCTAAGATCTCAGCTCGTCCGCTTCATAGAAAACGGTTTCCAGCACGATCCGAGTGCTTGCTGCTGAGCCATCGCATTCTGAGACCTTTCTTCTGGGCATCACCCTTGCTTCTAACACCCAAACCAAACGGTGTGGTGTAACTGGAAAGGCCACTCCACAGAAATATAGGCGTGTTTATTACTCAACAAAGTGAACATTTTTTGAGGACCTAATATGTTAAAATAAATCAATGCTAGCTGCCTGTAAGGTACATAAAGATGAAGGAGGAATCCCCCTCCCTCCGCCCACCCAAGGGCTTTTATAATGGTAAGGTTCCTTTCATCGGTCTCAGAACAGCACCACACCAGGGGCGGATGGGTTTCCTTTCCTGTAAAGGTGAGAGTGTGAGGCCCAGGGGGGCGCAGTGACTTCAGACAGTCAGGGGCGCCTCCTGCACCAGCAGCCACTGGCTGACTCCCTGAAACGCCCGGGTGGCCTGCAGAGGGAGGAAGCATACAAATTAATAATCAAATATTTGCTGTTTCTGCAGGCCTTGGGACCTTGTCGCCTCCCTTGTCCTTGCTGTGAGCATTTGTCACCACATTTTGCCCACAGGAGGACTTGGCAAACCCATCAGTGCCACCAAACACTTCCGTGACATGGGATTTAGCTCCTCAGGGCTGTTTCCCCGTGAAGGATGCTCCCACTGACACCCCTATGGGGCTTCAAACAAATGACATCAGGTTCCCAATAACTTCAGATGAAATCAAGTGGAAAATGAAGTTCAGACAAAAAGAAAAAAAGAAGGCATTTCATCATGCTCTTGACAGGGTGCTGAAAAGAGGAAACTCGGCTGTTGCCGAGCAACCTCCCCACCCAGGGAGCTTCAGGTTGGGGCCCCAACTGTGGGAGTGACTTCCTCTGTCCTCACGTGTGCCACTCTCACTGCCAAAATGTCCTCTGGCTGCTGACAGCCCCTCCTGCGTGAGGCCAGGCTCTCTACCCTGATTCGTGCTGCTCTGGAAATGTCTCTCTGAGCCTCTGTCCCAGGAACCCAAAGTCCTTCTCTGCATGTCACGACTACTATATAATCTATATGCAGACAGCGTATAGGAACATATCACACATGCAAACTGAGCCAGCTCCTTGGATGTTCTCTGTTCCTTCCTCGCCAGCTGCCAGGTTGGGCAGGCCAGCTGACACCCAGCCAGGCCATTTTATTCATCACTGCACAACACCAGCGTCTGGCTCCTCTCTTCCAGAGAATCACAGGATACAAAGGCTGGGAAGGGGTGGGGGTCCCTCAGTTCCCCAGTGACAACTCTGAACCTTTCCTGGGGGCTTTAATCAAGCATTTGGCCCTGCTATTGTAAACCTGTCCTCCCCGTGATGGAGTACTTGTGACTTTATTCTCTGGGCCACAGGAAAAAGCAGGGTCTGAAGAACAGCTGGATGGAGGAGAGGAGGGGGCAGTCTCAGCTGCTGGGGCAAATGTCCATCAGGACCCCAAGTTTCTGTGTGGCAGATATGTGTATGGCATGATAAAGGTTTCATTTCACAGAAAAATTATGCTGTAATTCAGTGTCTGCTCCAGATGTCAGTTCCCAAGTCTTTCTCCTGGGCACGTCACTCTTTCCTCTAACATCCAGGAAAAACAGCTTGAGCCCACCCACATTCTTTATGTGCCCAGGACCTGTGTGTCTGGGGCATCTTGGAAGGATTCATTCCTCTTGGATTTCCCCTCTTTTTCTCTCTCTCTCTCATCCTCCTTTTCCACTGAATTCTCCACCCTCATGTGACATCACGTCACCCCATGCTGTCCCTCTCCCTTCATTCACCAAAGCACCAGCAATACAGGATTAGTGTGTATAGAAGATAGTTTAGTGAAGGGGAGGATAAGGAAGGAGAGTTACAGCACAGTGCAGACAATGTCAAACTGGGCATAGTCACCGTGGTCCTTCATTTCCCCAGCCACAGCCACCACAGAGACCTTCTCACTTCCTTTCAGGGCTCCTGTCTGCTGACACTGACTAGGATCTTGTGGATGTCACTTGTCTTCAAGGTCCTACCAGTCACATCTTCTCCCTCGGGTTATGAGGCCCTAATCCAGAAATCCTGCTACTTGCAGTGTAGAAAAACACTGGTTGCTTTACTAAGCAATACATATTTTATTCCTACTTATATCATTATCAGAAAAACCTACTCAATGAATGCATGGTGTTTGAAGCATAAAACACAAAGTATGAAGCATGATGTCACTTGCAAATCTTTTGTTACATTAAACATAGCAAATACTCATCATTTCTTTAGATCTGTTATCCTAAAAATAATAGAAATGTTCTCATTAATGTAGAAAAGGGCTCATTAGAAAATAAAAACTGAAAAATGCTTTTGAAAAGGCAAGTCAATTTTTTATCTCAAAATGTTTTTCTAGTGTTTGTATTAGATGTTCCTGCTAGATAGTAAATTACACCAAAATCTGAGACAACGCATATTTGCAGTCTCACAGTGTCTGTCAGTTACCGGTCTGGGAGTGGCCTAGCTGGGTGGTTCTGGCTCGGGGTCTCTCGTAAGGCTGCAGTCAAGATGTCGGCCAGGGATGTGGTCACATGAAGGCCTGACTGGGGCAGAAGGATCTGCCTTTGAGTTGGCGCCCTCACATGCCTGACAAGTTACTGCTGACTGCAGGCAGAAGCTCCTCGTCCTCTGCATGGATCTCTCTGTGGGACTGAGTGTCCTCACAACATGGTAGCTGGCTTCTTCCAAAATGAGTGATCCAAAAGAGAACACAATGGAATCAGTAAGGCCTTTTACCACCCATCACTGGAAGTCACACCGTGTCATTTCCATAATGTCCAATTGGTTGCATAGATAAGCCTTATTCAGTAAGAGGGGACTCCCAGTGTAAATATCATGAGGCAAGAATCATGGAAATTAGGAGGCGTTACAGACACTGGCTACCACACTGATTGAAATGAACATCAGCCCTCAAACACTGCATTTCATTGGATCTGAAATATCATTGACAGAAAGACACATCTTCATTTTATGTGACAATCAGAAAGAAAAATCTGTCCAATATTGGGAGACTCTTCAAACAAAGCTGGTTCACAAAAGGCTATGACTTTGGTATAGGGCCAAATAAGAGTAACTCCACTCCACAAAAAGTGAAAGCAATGCCTATCTCAACCTGTACTGATTGAAAAAATTATTCCCTGGAGAATATGAACCCAAGCAGGTAGGACCCTCAGAGACAACTTGCAATAGAGCTTAAGAGCCCCTCATAAGAAAGTTGATTTCAATCTAGGTCAAATGCAACCAAAGAGTCATTTAAATTTTAGGGGATGTTAATGTAGGCAAGTGTGCATCTTAAAGTCAAGAAAATACAGTCATAGCAGTGAAGATTTGTGTAAAATGTACAGAAACAGTTCATAGTTAGTGTTCTTTTGGGAGATTACAAAAATGGAGTCTTATTTGAGGAAAAAAAAGAACAGAAACTGAGTCCATCTGCTATGAATTGTTGGCCAATACTGTGTGCTTTCTCTTATCTCTTAAACTCAGCTAACTCCAGAATCAGAAAATGAAGAAAAGCAGAAAGGGAATCAGTGTAGAATCAGTAGAAATAAAATGAACGTTGAATTAGACCCACTTAGGTCCAGGTCTTTATAGCTGTGTGATCTTGAGCAAGTTGCTTTACCTCTCTTGGTCTCTAATTATATGACCTTCAGGTAAGGCCCAGGCAATAATCTACCTTGCCCGGTTGGAAGAATTGAATATCACATGAATAAAACCTCTAGTATGGTGTTTATCAGTGATAGCTATTATGGTGATCCCTATTTTTCATTTCTAAGACTATACTCCTTTTTTTGAGATTTTTTTTTTGAAAAGGCTCAACCAACAGGAAGACTAATACCCAGAGAAGATGACCTTCCTTCTGCCGCTCATTCAGTAATAACCATAAACATTAATGGAGTCCTGAGTCTTAATGGAACACGGTCCTGAATAGAGTAGTACTACAGCTGCACCAGTGAGGCAGCCCTCTCTCCTTCCCAAGGAGCTGTAGAGAATGGATGCCTTCCTCAAACCATCCCCAAGAAGGGTCACACTAAGTCTCCATCCTGGAGGAGTCTGGCAACCCTCACTGGTAGGGAATTTGGAGTGAATGGTTCTTCATTCTGCAAACATTTACTAAGCAGCTTCTAAATTCCAGACTCTGAGCCAGGTTGCAGGGACATGGAAACCAATAGAAACCAATGGCCAGTGCCCTTGAGGGGTTGATGGTCCTGTGGAGGAAAGAGCAAAGAGAATGATCAAGTGAAGGGTCCCACAAGATGTGTGGAGATTGTGGGAGCACCTAAAAGGACACATTGACTTCACCTGGGGAGATCAAGGAAGGCTTCGAGGAGGAGGCAATGCTTGGGTGAGCCTTAAAGGCTGAGCAGTATTTTGCCAGATGGATAGTATTGAGTCATTAGGGATCTGATAGATGACATCCATTTATTTCTTCCTTTCTCAAGTGTGGAATCAACTGAAAAGTAAGACACGGGGATAGACAAAATGCCAGCTTTCTTGCTGAGAAATCCAATTGGAGAACACGGCTCTTTTATGGTTAAAAGAGCATGCCAAAAAAGTAATTTTACAGTGGAGAAAACTGACAGACACTTCCTCAGGCAGGTGATCAAGGTCAACATCAACCGTCGTAAACCATGTTGACAGCAAGGCACACCTCGGTATGATGGGAATACACTGCACCTCTGCGGGCTTAGTCCACAAAACCCATAGTCCCAGTCTAATCCTGAGGAAAACCTCAGCCTAATTCTGGTCCATGAACTTTCTGAAACACCTGAGCAGTACTTCTCAAAATTGTCAAGATCATCGAAAGAAGGAAAATCTGTGAAACTGCCACAGTGAAGAAAAGCCTAAGGAGATGATGGAAAAAATGCAATACGGCACCTTGGAGAGGATTCTGGAACAGAAAAAGGACGTTAGGTAAAAGCTGAGGAAATCTAAATAAACTATGGGCTGTAGTTAACCAAAACACACCAATTTGGTTCATTGATTTTAACAAATGTATCATACTAAGGTAAATGTTAATAATAGGGGAAAATGGTGTGGTATATATGGACCTTTCTGTACCGTCTTCTCAGATTCTCTTTAAATGTAAGTGCTCTGTGACTCTCAGCATGTAGACATGCAGTTAATAAAAGAAGTAAAGAGAGGAAAGGACCCTTGCTGCTTGTGGCAAGGTTCCCAAAGTGTGACCTGAGGAACCCTTGGGGGGCGTGCCCCTTAAAGTGCTGATTTCTGAGGTCTGAAGTCAGGGGCTGCATCTCTGAATAAGACCGGAAGAAAGCTGCTGGGAGAAGCTGACTCAGAGATGTGGTTCGACAAATACCCTCTGACAGTTCTATCCTCTTACCTTTCACACTGCCCTGTGGAGCGTAAGCAATCTTTTCCGGAGAAGTAAAGGCAAGATCCCTGAAGAGAGCTTTTGATTACTGTCAGAAAGAATCACAGAGGGGCAAAGCAAGCCAGGAAGGGTGGGGGTGTTACAAGTTCAAGGTCTGTGTGCTCAGCACTTCAAAGGCCAGTATTCAAAATGTCGTATATAGTTTGTAGTAAAGAAAGTTTTTGTGATCTAGAAGGTGCCAGTTTGAGAACACGGGGCCTGGAGGGCTTCCCCAAATCCATCTTAAGAGAGTCCAGTATTCAGGCTTCTTTTACGTCAGCGGAAGGGAGAACAGGCAGGGTAAGAAGTGTGTGCCCACCCACCAGACATCTGGGTGCCAACAGGGATTTAAGGAAGTGAAAGAAATCTCTAAAGCGCGTGGTTCCCTTGACCCAGGCTGCTCTAAATCCAGTCTTGAGGCTTCCCCTATGTGTCAAACTCCAATTCCTCTAATAATTAGCATATCTATAGCAGGAACTGTTAGTCTGAAGGCCAGAGGGAAGACGCAGGCTAGAATGAAGACTCAGAGAGAGGCAGCACTTCACTCTGTTACAGGAGGAATCAATGGCAGGAAAGTCGGTCTCTGGGAGAATTGCCCGCTGCTCTATAGTGAATACCCTGTCCCCTCCCCTCCTCAGGTAGCACAGCTGACTGGGCTCCTGAAATTCAGAATGTTCTCCTGTGCTGTCCTGGAGGGTTACAGGTCTGTTCTCAGAGGCCTCACCTTCAGCTCGTCCATTTGCACCAATGTGCTATCTAATACCTTTTTCTGTGCATGCCGCGATGTGAGAGAGTTGAGAAGTTTGTACTAAAATTAGTTCACTACAAACATTTGTCAACCTTCTAATGATGCTATACCCAATTCTAACACGTGTATGTGCGCGCAGCAGGGGGTGCCCACCACCAAAAGCAGTTCTCCAATACCAACTGGGTTTACACAATTCAACTCAGTTCTGACGCTGTCTGCCCCAGATAGCAGCCGACTGCACAGGTTGAGGGCTCAGCCCTACCACTGACCCCACCACTTCTGTTAACAATCACAAGGCCACACTGTCACTTGTGCTTCTGACCAACACGCTATAAATCAGAGGTGCCAATGACCCCTCCCTGGGTGTGATTCATTTGTTAAAGCAGCTCACAGAACTCAGAGAAACATTTTACTTACTACATCACTTGCTTATTATAAAAGGATATAATTCAGGAACAGCCCATGGAAAAGATGCACAGGGCAAGGTACATGGCAAGGGGCACCGAGCTGGTTCCCATGCTCTCTCTGGGTGTCCCATTCTCCCGGAACCTCCTGGAGTTTTCTGGGGGCTTCATTACATACTTGTAATCATGGTCATTGAAGATCAATTCAGCCTCCACCCCCACTCTCCTCCCTAAAAATCAGGGGGTAGTCCTGGAATTCCAACCATCTCACTACAGGGTGGTTTCCCCTGGCAACCAGTCCCCCTCTGCAAGTGACCTAGGGGCTTTCCAAAAGCCATCTCATTAACATAACAAAAGACAGCTTTCATTGCTCTCATCACTTTGGAAATTCCAAGGCTTTCAGGAGCTCTGTTCCAGACCTTGGGACTAAGACCAAATGTACATAAGAAATCACAATATCGCACCTTCTGTTCACTGGTTGGTTTGAGGGAAAAGTGCTTTATGTTTGTTTGCTATGGAGCAGGATGAGGAAGCGTGTCCATGTGTCTTTTGTCCAAATCTTACCATCAGTACGGACTGGTTCACCGCCCAGAACAAAGGCAAGGTCGTGCTGCTCTCTAGGTTCGCTTCCGAGACCCCAAAGCTCACAGAGCTTAGCTGAGCTGAAAACCACCATCTCGGCTCCTCCCCTCATCTCCTGTTTTTCCCTTCCCGGGGCCCTGGCCACGCCTCCTGAATGGATGAACGAAAGAAGGGATAAATAAATAAAAGGGAAGTGTGGTGGAGGAAGAGAGTAGAGAGAAAGAGAATGGAGGACACACGTTTCACCTCAGGTCTCTCTCCTGGAAAGACCCATAAAGTGATTCATTTAGGATTTCTTACGTCAAGGCCAAGAATGGACGTGTTGTGGTTCCCCGACGGTATTATTTGATGACCAATTTGCCCTTTTAATCTATCCCAGCATGGCTTGAAAAGACATTTGACCTGCAGCCTGGGCAAGTGCCTGACTGGGAATTGAACCTGTGACCCTTAGGTTCACAGGCCAGCACTCAGTCCACTGAGCTACACCAGCCTGGGTTGCAGGCCAAGCCCCCAGTAAGGGGTGCATGAGAGGCGATGACACATTGATCTTTCTCTCTCTCTCTTTCTCCCTCCCCTCCCCTCTGTCTAAAAATAAATAAATGAAATATTTTTGAAATATATTTTTAAAGTGACGTTTTAAGCTTTAATTTCACCTCAAATGGAAACAGCAACTTTAGCTGCTGCGCTGTTCATTACTCACCCCAGGAATTGGACAGATTGGCCCTCTGCCCGTCTCCACACGGTCCCTGGTGGGCCTTCAGGAAGCCCTAAGAACATTCCGGAGCAGCGATGCCCCCAACGCTCCTTCCTCGAGAGTGAGAGCTACAGCAGGCTGGACAGACATGCAGGTGACCTGCCATTTTCCACAGGGACAGAGAAGGAAAAGCCATATGCTAACTTTCTGTGGGTGTAAGTAGCAGAGTCAGAACGTACGTCAAGGGAGTCATACTGCCACAGGCGGGCACAGGTAACCAGGTTCTTGGTGATCGGGACAAAGATTTGACCGAACACCCAGAGTTTATAGCAGAGAACATGGGAGCAGGCCAACTCCAAGCAGAGATTGACCTCATGGGCTGAAGGAATTCTATCTTTATAGGGCGGATCCTTCCTGGCTAGGTTTGGCAGGCTTTTAGTGAGCACGTACAAGTAGTTGTATTACTTTAAAGCTACTGCACGTGTGGTCTCCCATGTTTTCCCGGATTGGCTGCCAGGGGAGGGGGTCCCACAATGTTACCTGGTTGACCCCCCTTCTCTGGGGTCCCCTGTACTAGGTTCGCCTTTCCCTTCACCAGAGAATTACAGCTCTCCACGTTAGAGATTGGTGAAAAGGAAAGGAACTATTTATTCAAGTTATACAGACTCAAGAGTAATGACTTAATGTCTTCATCAAAATCCCAAAGTCCCTTAAAACACCCACAAACACACACAGTCCTTCTTTCCACCCTTACCTAGTCCAAGGTACCATATCTCAGGAAAAGAAATAAAAAGCCACGTGATGATTGTCTGCCAAAGCCGCATGGTGGTTCTCTGCTAAAGCTGCATGGTGATTCTTCTCATGGCTGCGGGCAATGGGGGGGGGTCCCCCCTACTCTGGCCAAAGCCATGTGGTTCTCTCTGCTAAAGCTACATGGTGATTCTCTCTCACAAGGCTGCAGGAGTCCCCATTCTGGCCAAAAACGTGTAGTTCTCCCTCCAGTGGCTGCCACCGATTAAATCCCCACACCAATCTTCCTCTGCAGCCCCATTTCCAAATCCTCCCACAATTGGCTACACTTGCCAGCACTCCCATATCCTCCCAGCTTTACTGGGCTGCCATAGTGAGTCTGGGCAGGTATGGCCCCATGGCATGGAGACATGCAACTCCAAGTTCTCACGCAGGTGCTGTAACCAGGGGGTGTTACCTCCCGATTACATCCTGGATGGAAGTCACTCCCTTCTCCCTGGCTCAAAGTATGGCCACAGCTATTTAACATATCTATGAAACCAGTTAAAAGTTACAGATATGTTAAATGACCATTCTAGAGGTTATCTGCTAAACTATTGCTCTGCAAAACAACTCAATGGCCCTGCTTCATGTATTCCATCCCCCCAGCTCAGACTTGTGGGGGTGAGAAGAGCCCATATTTTTAATATTTCCTGGACACCCTGAGTTCTGGACCCCACTGCAAATTTTTCTTTTGGGGGCCCCCTGGCTGCACCCTCCTACAGTATGGAGATGCCGCCTGTTTAACCCAGCCTTTTCCACTCACCTTTTTTTTTTTAAACAAAAACCCTTATTCAGTGTGCTCCCTCATACCCCCTAGACACTGCCAGGCCCTTGGTGAGTCTACCACTTCTTTGTGATCTTAAAAAGGTTGTGGGCCTTTCACACCAGCCAGGTTGGTCTTCTCATGATGTCTTACCTGTCTGTGCTCAGACTAATCCTCATACCTGGCAGGTTCATCTTCTCCCATCAGAATCTGACTCCTCCTTCCTTTCCACTTTCTCTGAATTCCTACAGCCCTTAGGGCCACATGCAATTTCCTGCTCAGTCTTCCCCACGTGGGGCCCGTATGCTGTGTCATTGTCACCCTTCTGTTCATCCCACTTCACTGGCCCTGGGAAACAAGGGCTGTGCAGTAAGCATGTGACTGTCTCTAGGTAACTCACTGGACATCCGATTTGCTGCACTACGCACCTGCTTATCCACGTGGCTCTCACCCCTTGAAATGGGAGTTCAAGGAAGAGGGGAGATCAGTTCAAGAGTGAAGAGAGGACAAGAAAAGGCAGGAAAAAGGGAGGATAAAGCACAAGAAATTAAATGAAGAAGAAAAAAGAAATAATAACTAGCCCTCAGGCTAGTCATTACATTTTGCTCTCCATCTGGTGGCACTTCTACCCTAGAAGGTACCAGTTTGACTTCGTAAGTGCCTGTTCAGACTATAGGAGTCATGTTGGATTTTTGATGCTCACATAAGTCTGACAACAGAGTCCAAGTTCCCAGTAATGCCCCCAAATCTTAAAAACCTATCTAGCATCTGCCATCCTCATAAGCTGGGTTGTGCAAATCGCTGACATTTTGTAAGCATTTGCTGCATTTCCATTGTCCTAGTACCCAAAACAAAATCCTACCCGTCCTGTGCCTGGTGCCATACTGCTGGAAAAACCAGACTGCCTCTCTTCCTCTAGGGCAGGAGTGCCAAACTCATTTTCACCGGGGGCCACATCAGCCTCAAGGTTGTCTTCAAAGGGCTGAATGTAATTTTAGGACTGTATAAATGCAACTACTCCTTAATAGTTAATCGAGAGCTTGCCACTGCTGCCAGGTAGAAATAAGGTGCAGGGCTGAGCAAAACAAGGTGGAGGGACGGATTTGGCCCGCGGGCCTTATGTTTGGCACCTGTGCTCCAGTGAGCTCAGGAAAAGACTATCCTCCTAGGAGCAAACTGGAATTTGGAAGGCTTTAGAATATTTATTTAACCTACTCACCCTCCAAAGGAGAGTGTAGTTATTAATTCATTTGTACTGAACACCTCTGTGTGCCACAGATCACTCTGATAACCTTTCCTTTTGAGATAATGTTGATGAAAAATCACGTTTGGGTAAGCACAAAAATAATTACAATCAGTGAGTGCTGTAAGAGTTTACCTGGGAGCAAACTGAGGTTTGGAACACTATAATGTTTATTTAATCTATTCGCTGTCCACATTTTTCCATATGGAGTGCGGCAAGTCGTCCAAGAGCATCGCTTGACGGTAATGTTGATGGGATGCTGCAGGAACTTACTCCTGTTTATAACAATTAGCCTATGGTAAAATTGGTGTTGGTAGACATCATTTTGCTTAAAGTCACAGAACCTATTGATGATGTTAAGTGAGGACTCACTATAGTACATTTGACTGATGAAAAGGTCTTGTCAGCAGCTGACCTGGCTATATGGTGAGTAAGAATAACCACCAATAGTGTGTGGAGAGAGATGGCCCTTAAATGAATCCAAAATTTTTTAGCTCAGAACTCAATGGTCCTTGCTTTTTCTAAAAATTTATTTTATTGATTGTGCTATTACAGTTGTCCCATTTTCCCCCCTTCACTCCCCTTTGCCCTGCACACCCCCTCCCACCCACATTCCCTGCCTTTAGTTCATGTCCATGAGTCATACATATAAATTCTTTGGCTTCTACATTTCCTATACTATTCTTACCCTCCCCCTTTCTATTTTATACCTATTCTCTATGCTACTTATTCTTTGTACCTTTTCCCCTTCTCTTCCCCTCTCACGCCCCTGTCGATAACCCTCCATGTGATCTCTATTTCTGTGTTTCTTTTCCTGTTTTAGTTGTTTGCTTAGTTTGTTTTTGTTTTTGTTTTAAGTGTGGTTGTTAATAATCGTGAGTTTGCTGTCATTTTACTGTTCATATTTTTATCTTCTTTTTCTTAGATAAGTCCCTTTAACATTTCATATAATAAGGGCTGGGTTATGATAAACTCCTTTAACTTGACCTTATCTGAGAAGCACTTTATCTGTCCTTCCATTCTAAATGAAAGCTTTGCTGGATAGAGTAATCTTGGACATAGGTCCTTGCCTTTCATGGCTTGGAATACTTTTTTCCAGCCCCTTCTTACCTGTAAGGTTTCTTTTGAGAAATCGGCTGATGGTCTTATGGGAACTCCTTTGTAGGTAACTGTCTCTTTTTCTCTTGCTGCTTTTAAGATTCTTTCTTTATCTTTAATCTTGGGTAACATAATGATGATGTGCCTTGGTGTGTTCCTCCTTGTGTCCAACTTCTTTGGGACTCTCTGGGCTTCCTGGATTTCCTGGAAGGTCTATTTCCTTTGCCAGATTGGAGAAGTTCTCCTTCATTATTTTTTCAGATAAATTTTCAGTTTCTTGCTCTTCCTCTTCTCCTTCTGGCACCCCTATGATTCAGATGTTGGAATGTTTAAAGTTGTCCCAGAGGTCCCTAAGCCTCTCCTCAGGTTTTTGAATTCTTGTTTCTTCATTCTTTTCTGATTGGAGATTTCTGTCTTTCTTCTGTGCCAAACCATTGACTTGAGTCCCAGTTTCCTTCCTGTCACTATTGATTCCCTATACATTTTCCTTTATTTCACTTAGTGTAGCCTTCATTTTCTCATCTAATTTGTGATCAAATTCAACCAATCCTGTGAGCATCCTGATTACCAGTGTTTTAAACTGTGCATCTTATAGGTTGGCTATCTCCTCATCGCTTAGTTGTATTTTTTATGGAGCTCTGATCTGTTCTTTCATTTGGGCCATTTTCTTTTTGTCTTGATGGCCAGTTACGTAGTAAGGGGTGGAGCCTTAGGTATTCACCAGAATGGAGTAACCCAGGTTGCTGTGTTGTGATGCTGTATGTAGGGTAGGCGTCCAAGAGGGAACAGTGGTGCTTGCTCCACTCTCTGCCAGATTTCAGTTACTTCCCCCACTTCTCATAAGCAAATTGGGCCCTTCTGGTGCTGATTCCCAGGTGGGTGGGTTTGCGTATGTTCTAGGACCCTGCGGGTCTCTCCAACAAACTCTCCTATGAGGCTGAGAGTTTCTCCTGGCATCTCAACCCCCACAGGTGTTTTCAATCAGTGTTTTGAGGCTTTATTTCTTTGAGCTGGGCCCCTGGGTTGCACAGTCTGTCTCATTCCCCAGTTTTGCCTGGTTTATATGCATACGAATATGGGACTGCTCAGTCAGCCAGTCACCTTGTGCACTGAGCCCCTGCCCTGAGCCCTGTTCCATAATCCACTGCCTCACTGGGTCAGCCAGCCGCTGCCTTGCCACCAGCCCCCTTCACCCTGGCTGCCCATCTCCACCCCTCCTGCCTGTCTGGATGAGTGTTTCCTCTTTAACTCCTTGGTTGTTGG